TGTGTGGCCCGCTCTTATCCGTAACAAATCGTACTTCCGGGTCTTGGTGGTTCTTCTGTGTGGCCCAGTCTTATCCGTAACAAATCGTACTTCCGGGTCTTGGTGGCTCTGTGCGGCCCACTCTTATCTGTAACCAATCGTACTTCCGGGTCTTGGTGGCTCTGTGTGGCCCACTCTTATCTGTAACAAATCGTACTTCCGGGTCTTGGTGGCCCTATGTGGCCCACTCTTATCGTTAACAAATCGTATTTCCGGGTCTTGGTGGCTCTTATCCGTAGCAAATCGTACTTCCGAGTCTTGGTGGCTCTGTGTTGCCCACTCCTTTGCGCAACAAATCGTACTTCCGGGCCTTAGTGGCTCTGTGTGGCCCACTCTTATCCATAACAAATCGTACTTCCGGGTCTTGGTGGCTCTGTGTGGCCCACTCTTATCCGTAACAAATCGTACTTCCGAGTCTTGGTGGCTCTGTGTGGCCAACTCTTATTTGTATCAAATTGTACTTCCGGGTCTTGGTGGCTCTGTGTGGCCCACTCTTATCCGTAACAACTCGTACTTCCGGGTCTTGGTGGCTCTGTGTGGCCCACTCTTATCCGCAACAAATCGTACTTCCGGGTCTTGGTGGCTCTTCTGTGTGGCCCACTCTTATCCGTAACAAATCGTACTTCCGGGTCTTGGTGGCTCTGTGTGGCCCACTCTTTTGCGTAACAAATCGTACTTCCGGGTCTTGGTGGCTCTGTGTGGCCCACTCTTTTGCGTAACAAATCGTATCTGTGTGGCCCACTCTTATCCGTAACAAATCGTACTTCCGGGTCTTGGTGGCTCCGTGTGGCCCCACTCTTCTCCGTAACAAGTCGTCTTCCGGGTCTTGGTGGCTCTGTGTGGCCCACTCTTATCCGTAACCAATCGTACTTCCGGGTCTTGGTGGCTCTGTGTGGCCCACTCTTATCCGTAACAAATCGTACTTCCGGGTCTTGGTGGCTCTGTGTGGCCCACTCTTATCCGTAACCAATCGTACTTCCGGGTCTTGGTGGCTCTGTGTGGCCCACTCTTATCTGTAACAAATCGTACTTCCGGGTCTTGGTGGCTCTGTGTGGCCCACTCTTATCTTTAACAAATCGTATTTCCGGGTCTTGGTGGCTCTGTGTGGCTTGAGGGTCGCCATCCTGGCAAGCATGGGTGCCGCGCTCGACCACACCGGCGAGGGGCAGCACTGAGGCACCAGACGACACCCGTACCGGGAATCCGGACGGGCTGGACCAGATGCAGACCATCGGCGAGGAGGAGGTCAACGTGATCCCTGGAATCGACGACGATCCAGACGACAGCACCCCGTGGGCTGCAAATCTGTCCCGGAGTTGGTGGATCTGGGCAGGACCATCAAGCGCGAGCAGCTTGAAGCCGACAATGGGCTCAAGCAGAAGGACGGATGGCGCGGACCGATCGGCCGCGGGGGCGGCAACGAACGCACGTTGCTCCACAATGTCCGATTGTGGTGGCGACCTCGAGGAGGCGCCGTGCCATTGAATTTCCGCTATGATTATAGTTTCAAGCGGTGGAAGAAGACGGTCGTTCTCTTCAAGAGGGGTGAGCTTACAATCCTGCTTCGGGATGTAGATATTGACACCCCCTGTCCATTCGTTGAGGAGGACAAGGATGTCATGGGCGAGAACAAGTTTCTTTGTCTCGCGAGGCCACCTCTAGGCGTAGCTGGTGAAAGGATGCACCACCTCTCTACCTCTAAAGGAGAGAAACAGCCAGAGGGCCAGTCCAAGAAGCGCACCGCTTTTGGCGCATACACAGGGGAGAGCGCAGGGCTTGGGTTTAGTTCGGGTTCTAGGGGAACCCAGAACCTAAGCTAGCGCATGTGCCTTCACATGCTTTCACCTGCGGGAACTGCGCGTTTCTGGGGGTGGGAGGGGGGGGTGTAGAGGGTTGGGGGTAGGGCTGAAGAGCTCAAGGTGGAGGTAGGGCTTAGGGTGAGGAGTTGGGCAGCCGTGAGAGGGGGTGGGGGTATAGGGGGCATCGAGGGGTTCGGAGTAGGGTGAGAGGGTAGGTGCGGAAAGCCCGCCCCTCGCCAGGTACAGTCCCTGGAGTCTTGCTGGCTACGGTGGTGACAGTCATGCCGTGCAAGATCCAGGCTCAAGGTTCGTGCGTTAGGCTGGAAGGGTTTGTAAAGTAGTGTAAAGATCAGAAACCCTTGAAAGCTCCATCTTTAATGTAGAGCTAGCTCCAAGCGCTGAAGCACTTTCGTTCCTTGTGCCTCGCTGAGTGAAAAGACTAAATCCGCTCGCGCTGCGCTCGTGGTTATTCGCTGATTCTGACTTGACTTGAAACCGATACGAGAAGAGATTAGCGATATCAGTCATGGACGCTGGGAGCGAGGCCAGCACAGGCCAATCCGACGTTTCTCAGTAGGGCTTTAGGGTGAGGGTAGGAGGAAGGGCGGCAGCGGGGGTTTGGGCACACGGCTGGAGCCCCTTAAAACACTTCATTTGCAGGTGGAGGGGTTGGAGGTAGGGCTTGAGTTAAGGGTGAGGAGTTTGGGCGGGCGGGAGGGGGGGGTGTAGCGGGTGCCGCCCCGCTTGAACCGCTGTGTTCCCTCAGCGTTTCGGAAAGAGAATAATTGTCCAGTGTCATTGGCTCCTCCTTGTAAGCGCTTCGCTTCGTCGTTTCGGCTGGTCGTTTCATTTTTGCTGACAGCGATGCCATCGCCGAACATAGTTTGCCTTGGGAGGCTCGCCGAGTAGCGGTGTGCACGCAGAAGATTGCTTTGCTAAAGTGGTCTTTATTTTTTTGTGGTGAAGGCGAAGCAGGCTTAGCTGTTTTTCCCCTTTGCGCTGAGCGTCTCAAGTCTCAAGTCTCGGGTCGGGCGCTCGGGCGCTGGGACAAGTGAAGTGATGATCGGCAGTGGCCCGCCTCGGGTGATCGGCTCAAATCTGGTCAGGGGGAGAGAAGACAAACAAAACGTCCGCGGGTATCGCATGCCCGGGGAAAATGCGAAAGCGAAAACCTTGGGGGAGGGAAAGCCTGTAGAGACGGGTGGGGTGAGGAAATCAGGGCATGTAGCGGGGAAGGAAACAGGTATCAATGCTTTCCTGAAAGGAGGGGCAGAAGTTCGTGGCAGCTCGGGTTGCCAGGTCCCCGCGCACATGGGTCAGGTCGCACAGAAGCTGCGGCGGCTGGAAGTTTAAACGTCTCGGTGCGAGCTTGTCGAATTTGCCGCGCTTGGCATGCGGTGTTGGGACAGTGAGCGGTGTGGGAGAGATCGAAGGAGAGGGATACATGGCTTCCAAGAGCGGGCACAACCGGGGGAAGGAAGGAAGAAGGGAGGGAGAGAGGGAGGGCAAACCTCTGCAAAAGCAGGGGCTGGGGCTTGTCGGCTGCAGTAGATTTTCAGGTCTTGAACGCTAGACATGCTTTAGTGACTATAGTGGTCTTGATTTGACAAGGTTAGGGGGACACTTGCAACTCCCCTGCAGTCAGGCACAACGAGTTCGTCGAAGCAGAGGCTTTCGTTTATGCCGCCAGCAGGAGGGCGCTCGCATCGGTTTGTGTTTTAGGATGTCCCCGGGTCCGAGCGCGCTGCAGCTTCAGTTTGCCATGCGCAGGAACAAAAACTGCTTATCCACTTCTGGTGCGAGGCCAGCATTCTGCAAGATCTTGTGGCCGCCAGCGCGCACTATCGAGATGCAGTGCGAGTAAAAAGATCCGGCCGGAAGGGGCGCGCAAAGACCTCCTGGACCACGCAGGGCTGCTGCAGTATGTCTACGGAAAGTCTGATATAGCTCTGACTGCGAGCTGCGCGAGTCCAAGGCGGATCTCATTCGCAGCTGGATGTCGCAGCAGTCCATGCTGTGGACGAAGCGTGCTTCGCAGAGGACGACGCCAAAGAGATTGATCCATCCTGGGCATCCAACTGCCGTAGCGTTTTCGTATCCAAGAGGCGTGTGATGACGGAGAGCGAGATGAAGGAGCTTCGAAATCTAGTTGGCACGATGGCTTGAGATGCTGTGGAGGCCAAAGCAGTGGTGAAAGTCGTGGCAAAACCCCGTGATGCTTTCAGCGGCGTCTGCAAAGCTGGAGGCAAACTGTGCATCGCCGGGTGCCCTCTGCGCCGAGTGCAGGCTTCAGCGGCGTGTTCAGGTCAGGTCGACTTGAGCCAGCTGCAATACCTGCCGCAGCACCGAATGCAACGGAATCAGCACAGCGCCTGGAGAGAGCACAGAGCTTTGACTTCGATCACAGAGAGCACAGGGCTTCGACTTCGATCAGACCATCTCCAAGATCCACGTCTTCAAGCAGCTCGCCGGGTGGGAGCTGGGTGTGGATGCGCCTCAGGCGCTGTCGGAGCGGCAGAAGATATCGCAGGTCACGCACGCGGTCAACGGTCAACAGCTTTGACGGGCGTGACTGCAAGCTGTCGGTGCCGAGGGCTTGCCTGAGTTTGTTCGCTTTGACGCGGAGCGCTTCTGTGACTTCGGATTCGGAGTGCCGCATTTGGCAGGGAAAGGGCGGGCAAAGAGCTTCCGGACCCTCCCAGTATCTGACGGAGGCGAGTTGAGGGCCAATCCTACACTTCGGGATCTTTGTCGGTGTTAGCTGTCCCAGGATTTTTATGAATTAAATGAGTTGGAAATCCCAGCACAATCAGACAGTATTGACCATTCAATAACATCTCTCAACGCGAAGATCAAAACGGAGAGTTCAGGGTTCAGGCCATTAGGAGGAATTGCTCCCACTACATGCGAACCCTTTCCAGACCCGTCATGCGAGCACTGTGTGTTCGAAGAGGTTTTGTTTCCGCCCTGCGATCTTGCGTTACGGACCATAGTGCCATCCTCTTACGGGCCAGCCGGGAGAATTTGGGCATGTCGCTGTGGTTGGACCTTTCGGCTCCAAGAGCTGCAGCAGACACATGTCGTAGCAGATCCAAAAAGGGCGAAACGCATTGCGCACCGCATCTATTGATGAAATTGCCTGTGCACTAAGTTACCTTCGCCATGAGCTGCTTCCAGTGGCTGTTTCGGAAGCGAGAGGCCCGTGTGTCAAAAACAGGGCCGTTGCTTTCAGTCGTGACCGAGAGCCGATTTTGGCATTTCGGTCGCTGCGTCTAAGTCTTCATCATGCATCAGGGCGACGGTGTTGCTTCCTTCACTTTCAAGAGGTAAGGTTGTCATGGGAACCTGGCCAGCGATGCGTTCGCAAGACTTCTCCTTGAGGCTGCGGCTTAAGCCCGTGCGTCTGATTCGTGTCCGCTTGAACCAGATACACGATGTCTGAAAGCCAGGAGGAAGCGACGCAGGCGCCGACGCCCAGCGAGGTGGTCGTTTTAGCTTTAGAGTTGAGCAAAGTGGTGCAGTACAAAAGGAAAGCCAATGCTTGAAACTTGCTTCCTCGCGAAAGGGTGCCTGGATCTGCACCTGCTCTCCCACGGAGGACGCGTGTGAACTTGACATCGTTCACGGTGGGGCAAGTAAGTCCTTACGACGTTATGTTTCGCGCACGATTGAATGGTCGAATGGCCGACTCTGTTTCTGCGAGGACTTGACAGAGTTTGGACAAGTTCCACCAGACAGGGTGCCACTGAACTTCGTCAGCCAGATTTTGGTTGTGGTGTCGTTTAGGTGGCGCTGTACCTCGAAATGGCCTCGAACCACAGCCATTGAATTCACGAATTCCTTCAGCCTCCAGCCAACTTAGACTTGCTTTGTTTCGTTCGAGCTTCGGCATTGCTTCTGTTATCTTATGTTGTTCCAAACGTCGGATAAAAGTTGCGATAACATTACAGTGTCTCCTCAAGAGTCGCATGGAGCAGCACGAGCACGAGTTTGGTGTGTCCAAACACTACGCATCCGAGGAGCACCCAGAAGCTGCTCCACGATTGCGATGAAGCCAGGTCAGGGACTTTTTTTGCTTGCCACATCGGATCATCTTTCGAGAGTCGCACCGGTATAATACCGTTATGTCACTATGTCTTTACACGCACTGTGCTTAGATTGCATCATGCTTCGGATCCTCAGCGTGGATTGCCTGTTCCTTGAAAGATTTTTTTCAACTGAAGTTGTCATGCTCTCTCATGGTATGATGATTGCGCTTGGACTTGGCATTCGTCAGGGAGAATGGCCCCGAGGCCTTTCGTCGTGCAGCCCGCGACTCAGAAAGTCCCTCGATTGCCAGGTTGTCGGATCAGCCCCTGGGACTCGCCATCAAAGCATGTGAAGCTGAGCTGTGTAGGAGCCGATGTCGATCCGGCCCACGCCTGTCAGCTCGCTGGCGATGAGGTCTCCGAAGCTTTGCGTGACTACGGGCGCGTCCAATTTCTGGCATGTGCAGGAGCCATACCTATCCGGTGCTCCTAGCCGCGAAGAGAGGCTGCGGATGCTCAGCGAGGACTCCCATTGATGCTGCTGCCGTCTACTCTGGTCGACGAAACGGCGAATCGAAGCATCTGCATAGCATGGCAGGGCGCCCGCAGACAGCAAGATCTCCAAGAAAACGATGCCGCGAGCACAGCCGGTCCTGTTCTGGACTCGGTGGTGCATTTAGCCACGAGTCCGCGCCGCTGCGGACGGTGTTGCGCAGACCTGCAGGTCACAGCCGCAGCAGTGGATGCATCTCCGCCTGGTTTCGACAGAGGCACCCAGCACCACAATGTGAAAGCTAGGATTCTAACTCTGGGCCGCCATCCCTGAGAGAGGTGGCACGCTCGAAGGCGGCCATCGGTCGCGGCCTCGTTTCTCTCACTTTCGCGCACCTCTGGCGACAGCCGTCCAGTGCCTCACAGCTTTCAGGCCTGATGCTTCTGCGGGAGGCTTTCGTCTTTGATGTGGTGTCGAACGACTCAGCGCCAACGACCCCCACAACACGAGCTGCTACGTGACTCGCCGCTTTTACAAGGGAGCGACCCTTTTCAATGAAGCATCCTAGACCGATAGTCATCTTGAGGGGTAGCCCCGAACTTCTCGAGGTCATCTCTGCCAAGCAGCCCTGATATCAACGCTGACGTGGTAGCTGCTTTGCTGCATTGCCCGTGGACCGGAAGTTTGTCACCGTTTCCCAAGCATCTCACATGACAGAAGGTTGTCCGATAATCTGACGGTGATATATATGTGTATCTTTAAAAGTCGTTCGCATGAATACGCAAGGCTTCTGAGATGCCAGTTTGTGACCAGTGGCCGGTGTGGCCAAGCGATTAACCCCTGCTGCCCGGAATTCTCAGAAGCAGTCGCAAACGTCGGAGTCGCGCGTGAGTAGTTGCATGCTATACGGCTGATAAACAGCATTGCAGAATACTTGTGATGGCCATGGACAGATTTTTCTATCGCACATGCCTGCTTATGGTTCTGCCGTAAATCCCATGTCCAGGATGCCCAGAATGCCCTGGCCGCAGCCCTCCCTCCAGAAGATGGGAAGGTGCGGTACCAAATGACGGGTTGCACGCACTCCTAGACTGCGAAGCCTCCAACACTTAAAGCGAGAACAGGGAAACAAAAGGATTCGTGCCTCTTTACTCTTCGGGTGACACCTGCCTAGACGTCCTCTACACTTCCATTTCGCGAGAATCTCCTACGCAATGCAGTTCTGAAACCTTGACATGGAATTGGGGAAACTTGTGTGGCATGGGAAGCTGACGAGTGCCCGCATGCCGCCAGTGTAGGAAGATGCACGTCTCTCACCCGAGCTGGTGGAGCCCTGCCCTTGGTCCTTTGAAGAACAACAGGGCGAGCAGTGACGTCATGTCGATGCCCCTTGCTGAGGCGTTTCAAGGAGATAGTGCGCGTGGCTACGGCTCCGACAGTGCAACCGCCTTCCGGAGCTTCCAAGGCCAGGGCAGGGCAGGGCAGGGCTGCGTTTCGCATGAGGTTCCCTTCTCATTGTCTCGTCTCGCCCTCGTAAATGAGAAACGGGAAGCCACAAACCACCTTCCCGACAGAATGTGGATCCTATGCATAACCAGTGAACTTTGTCGTCATATCTGAAGAACAGCAGCGGAGACACCATGCACACAGTGTCTTGCGTTTGCCTGGCCGTGCTGCGCTGGAAGCGCTCTCCGACAGAATAGGTTCGTTTCATTATGACATGGAGATTCCGTCCAATGGACTCGCATTGCGACATGAGAGAGGTTGAGAGAGCTTCTCCTCTCGTTACCAAAGCAGCCTGCACGCGCTGGTCGTTTATTCCTAAAATACGTGAACCAGTCCGAGACCGCAGCAAGAGAATCCTTCCTCCGTTCACAATATAAGCAGTCGCGTTTGCATGTTCAAACGAGTGCTTCCATTCTCCTCGTCGTATGAACTGTAGCTTCTCCTTCTTCAACTTTCATTTGCAAGATTGGGGCGAGCCCTTGGTACAACATATCTATAGTGAGGCTGTCCATGTCTTCAAAACCACCCATTGCCATGAGGACTGTGAATCAACATGAATCAACTCCTAGCTGCTAGCTTCTACACGGACGGCATCGCGTGGCATTCGATGGTACGAGGTTCGCCGATGCGCTGCGAAAAGCCGTATACAGGCCCGAAGTTCCGAGCAGGGACAAGTGATCACCATGGATGCACAGATGCATCCGTCGAGGCGCCGGCGGAGTACACCTTGGAGATGCAGCTCCAGGAAAATGCCCAGAGGATTCGCCTCCTGGAGGAGGCGTATTCGTGGTGGTAACATGTTGCCGTTGGTGTGGTGCGTCCTGCCGCGAACAGGCCTTGACGCTGCAGGAACAGGAAAACGCAGCAGCTTCGAGGTTTCGCTTTGTGCGGACATGGTGACATGGCAAGAGAAGCCAGGATGGACTAGCTGTCAGTTAAGAGCTCCACACGGATTGTGCTCACCCGAGGCAAGCATTCTGCAAGATCTTGTGGCCGCCAGCGCGCACTATCGAGATGGAGTGCGAGTAAAAAGATCCGGACGGAAGGGCGGGGCGCAAAGAAGACCTGGACCACGAAGGGCTGCTGCAGTATGTCTACGGCGAGTTTGATAGCTCCGACTGCGAGCTGCGCGAGTCCAAGGCGGACCTCATTCGCAGCTTGATGTCGCGGCAGTCCATGGCTGTGGACGAAGCGTGCTTCGCAGAGGACGACGCCAAAGAGATTGATCCATTCTGGGCATCCAGCTGCCGTAGCGTTTTCGTGTCCAAAAACGCGTTTTCGTGTCCAAGAGGCGCGTGATGACGGAGAGCGAGATGAAGGAGCTTCGAAATCTAGTTGGCACGATGGCTTGAGATGCTGTGGAGGCCAAAGCAGTGGTGAAAGTGGTGGCAAAGCCCCGTGACGCTTTCAGCGGCATCTGCAAAGCTGGAGGCAAACTGTGCATCGCCGGGTGCCCTCTGCGCCGAGTGCAGGCTTCAGCGGCGTGTTCAGGTCAGGTCGACTTGAGCCAGCTGCAATACCTGCCGCAGCACCGAATGCAACGGAATCAGCACAGTGCCTGGAGAGAGCACAGAGCTTTGACTTCGATCACAGAGAGCACAGGGCTTCGACTTCGATCAGACCATCTCCAAGATCCACGTCTTCAAGCAGCTCGCCGGGTGGGAGCTGGGTGTGGATGCGCCTCAGGCGCTGTCGGAGCGGCAGAAGATATCGCAGGTCACGCACGCTGTCAACAGCTTTGACGTGCACGGCTGCAAGCTGTCGGTGCCGGGCGTGCCTGAGTCTGCTCGTGTTGAGGCAGAGCCCTGTTGCGACTTCATGCGACTTCGCATTCTGCGTGCCGCGTTTGGAAAAGTGCGGGCAAAAGAGCTTCCGGACCTTCCGAATGCTTGACGGAGAGCGAGTTGAGAGCCGATTCGACACTTTGGGGTCTTTGTCGGTGTTAGCTGCGCCAGGATTTTGATGTATTAAATGAGTTGGAAATCTCAGCACAATCAGACACTATTGACCACTCAATAAAATCTCTCAACACGAAGTTCCAAACGGAGAGTTCAGGGTTCAGGCCATCAAGAGAAATTGCTCCCACAACTTGCGAACCCTTTCCAGACCCGTCATGCGAGCACTGTGTGTTCAAACAGAAGTTTTGTTTCTGCCCTGTGCTCTTGCGTTAATGTCATTAACCGAATGTTGTAAACAAACACGTGAGAATCTTTGTATTTGCAAATGGCTGGGCAGGAAGGGGGGGGGGTCCGTCCGCCTTTGGGGGTTAGGTTCCGATACCTCATGCGTTTACACCCCGCTATACAGAAAAGTAGAGATGTTGTTCTTCAAGTTTCGCGGATGTGAATGAATGCAGGGTGAAGGCAAAGATGGAAGATGCAAAGGGTTGTTCTATGTTGTTGTTTGCAAGGAAAGGTGTTAGCAGGGCTTGATGGGCTTGTCTATGGTTTTCTGTCGGGCCTACAGGATTTACAGGCTTTCGCGGGTTGTTTGGGCCGCCAAACTCGAGGCTGAACGGATTGATCGTGTGGACAGCGTGTCCCATAGAAACTGGATCATAGGTGCACAGAGGTGTTTCCATTTCATTCTCCCCTGTCATTTCCCATCCTCAAAGTTGCACAACAGATGACCATGGAAGCACACATATCTGCTGAGAAGAACTGCTTGATCGAAGATGTGTGGGCCCCGTTTTCTTTGGGGGGCCCGCCATATCAACCGGAGGCGACACCTTCATCGGAAATCCGTTTCTTGCAGGACAGAATTTGTGCTCTGTGTCTGTCTAGGCCATTGCATGTTCAAGCCAACAGAGGGCGACCGTCACGAATCATCAGCTGACACTTGGCTTCGTCCCTTTTCGGGAACCGATCACATCACGTGGAGGAGGTGCCATCAACCGTTAACACCCCTCACTGAGTTTTCGAAGTGCTGTCTTTCGAGCCCGAAAGCCTGAACAACAGACCCTCAATCCTCAAACCTTACCTACCCCCCAAACATCAATCCTGCACCATTGAACTTGAGACTATGCACCACACCCGAAGGCTCCCAATGCAACGCACGAAACCGGAGCCCCCTTGCCTGAATGGCATTGCCATCCTCTTGCGGGCGAGCCGGGAGAATTTGGGCATGTCGCTGTGGTTGGACCTTTTGGCTCCAAGAGCTGCAGCAGACACATGTCGTATCCATACATGGGCACGTCGTCCTGCAAGTTTCCGAACCCTACCCTCCTCTAAAACCTGTAATGCCGAAAGGGTTGCATCAGACCGAACAATCACCCTGCATGATGCCAGCTTGCTGCTTCCGAAGCCCGTGATGGGCGTGCTCCCTGGTAAGGGCGAAGCAAACACATTCATGCATGCATGATCAGACTTCATTTTTGGTTTGACCTCGTTCAGAATTGCATGACAGGCTGGCTGCCTATTGCACAGCGTATTACACAGCAGGCGGAGATGGCAATCTGCTTTTTACCAGGCTTCGGAGCTGGAGTTTGGCACCTGCAGAGGCCACTGCGTTGCAGACCTTGGAAGAGTTCTTGGAGTGCGTTCTGGCCCCAGCCGCAAATTTCGCCGAAGCATCCATGTCATCCATGTGATTTCCCGGGAGTCACAGTCCACTGTAGCCCAGGAACCTTTGCAAACCCTGGAGGAATTCTTGCAATGCGTTTGGAGCTCGGATGATCTGCTATCCCAAATCAGTTGTTCACCTATTTCTTCGGCCCGTCATTACCTCTACCCTTCCGATTTCACTAGAAATGTGATTGCGCTCCTTTTGAGTGGGGGGTTTGGCGTGTAGCTTGAGGGGCTTGGCCTGGAGCGTAAGGAATTGCCAACCGTTTCTCTTTATGAAAAGCATTTTCGAAGAAATTACACAATTGATCTAATTCAGAGTTGAGTTTATCTGTTGCGAGCCTTGGCAAGGCAACGTAAACCCTCAAATTGTTAAACCTTCATTAAACATGTTCGATCCTTGCCTCTGATCCTCAAATTGGATGTCAGATTGCAGCTGGCATGTATCGATTTTTTCCTCAGGAGCCGAGCTATGCGTCGCTGCTTCCCCCTCAGTTGTGAGGTGGTGCTGCGTTTTCTATTGAGCTTCGTAAAGTCCACTACCTCGGAGTGGGCTCTTCTGTTTGCTATCCAGGCCCCCTCAGCCGGCAGAGCCAGCAGAGCTTGCAAAGGAGGCTACAGAGGAAACCTCCAAGGGAGCGGCTGGAGGCACTGACGTAAACGTTGCGGAGCCGGAGGCGCTGGTTGAGCCGGAGCCTCTGCCGTTTGCACGCCTGAGACCTCTGAAGCCTGGAAGCTGAAGCCTGAAAAGATGACATGCGACATGCAGCGACCTGGGAGATAACCAGATAAAGCCTTTGTTCTTGTTGTTTCTTCCCCGTGACTTCGTCTTTTCGTGCCCCCTCCAAGGCCTCCGAGCGGGTGCGAGGCAGCCTCTCAAGCCGCTCAGGGCCAGATTGCTGGAAAGGTTCATGAGGTGCCCGTCAGCCCATGCTAGCCAAGATGCACTAAGATACCATGGAGGGCGTTGGGCTTGGGTTCAGGCTGTGGGATGCCGATAAACTGCCATGCAGCCATGTGAACGGGGTTCTGATCAACCTGCAGCTGGCCCAAGCCGGGACTCCCTTAGCATCCCTTTGCATTGCTTTGCGTTTCGCCATGTCAATCTCGGAGGCTCGGAGGCCCAGTGGACAAACAGGGTCTTTGGAGCACGATTTGGGCGGGGTTTTGGGTTTCTGGGGGTGGGCGCCCGCGTTTGCCTGCATGTGATTGAAGGCGCCCACCCTCTATAACCCCGCGTTGTTTACGATTGAAAACTCACGTCCTCAGCCTACAAATCCATCCAGCTCAGGCCACCCCTAGCAGGGCTCTTGTCGAGCGCGCCAGGACTGCCGACAAATGGTGCGTTGCAGAAATCAAACGTAATCAGTCGCAATGCCCGTGGGAGGAAGCTAGGCTACACGGGCGTCGGTGCCAGGGTGCGGCTCTTATTGACCTTGCGCGCAGCTGTTCGTGGAAATTTGTGGAGCTATATAGCACTCGCAGAGGATCTGAAATCTTTCATACGGACCAGGCACGGTGCTTGCTTTAACGCAGTTTGTAGACGATGGATGTCGTAGGGTGGCTCCAGAAAGAAAGGTAGGTGCATGAGTTGCAGCTGTGACCTGTGGCAGGATTGGAGATTTTGATGATATACCAGAAAGCCAGGCCTGCGGTCTTGCCCGTGAAAGTATTTTCGTCTATTCGGCACGGAAGCTCTTTCTCCCCTTCGTGCACGAGCCAACGTGCCGATCACCGCTGAGGAACATGACCAGGAAACGGAAGGAAAAGGAAACCTGCTAAGCGCCGTTGGCTTGTGGAGCGGGGCAAAGGTGAATGTGGAGCCATGTCGTGGGGCCCGCGTTGCGATTCGCGTTTGTCGTTTTTTTGCTTAGGCGATGTGTCACAATCAACTCCATCACAGCATCACACTGCAGAGAAGACTTGCGAGTGCGCGCACTTGCGGGCAGATGTTCTTGGAGTCGCTGGCAGACTTCTTGGCAGAAGAAGCGGGCACCTTGAAGCTTTGGCTTGTTGTCCGAGTGCCCGGAACCTGGCATAAATGTCAGCGAATGTGACAGGTGACGCTGCCAGATGCGCCTCCTCCCAGCGACAGGTCCAAGTTGTAGACATCACATGTTTGCGCGCTCTGGTATGCTGGAAGGAGGAATCCTAGCGTGGCTGTCATTCACAAGAATGTGCAGCAGCATCGGGATTTGCAGCCATGGTCAGCCGTTGCCTTGGGTCCATGCTTTTGTGTGAGGCACAAGTCTTGGGTGGTTAGGAACCATGCGTGACAGGATGGACAAGGCGGCCTCGCCATGATGTCTCTCGAGGTTGTGCTGTTTTGGTGGCAGTTTGGCAGAGCATAGCTGGCCTTTGCCAAAGAGATGTCCAGTCAGTGCGAGGACATGCCGCGAAGCAGCTTCGACCAGTTCGACCCTTCCCTACGGTGGCCTTGTTCGCAAATCTGCCCTCCAGATGTGCCGTCAAAATCTCCCTTGCAATTACATTGCAGTGCTCAGGAGGGAAAGGCGGGTACAAGCCTTTTCGCTGGTGTTGCTGGCATGGGCTTGCTACTGCTTTGGATTGACACAGCCTAGCTTTCTAGCTCGACCGCGCAGGGAAATTAAGGCTGCTCGCCCCACTTGTCCCACTTGGCCCACTCGCCCTGGCCCGCCCACTTGCCCCACTCGCAGCACTCCACCCATTCGTCCCACTCGCCCCACTCGCACCCGCCCCATTCGCCACACTCAACACTCGCTCCGCTCGCCCCGCTCGCCCCCACGAGCTCCAGGCGTTTGCACGATAGCGCGGATGTCCAAATGATGGTAAAACTTCAATCCGCGTCTCCACGTCAGGATGCATACTCGACTTCGTTGCGGCCTACGTTGATCCAAAGTCTGAGGGCGCGGTGGGCTGTTGCATCCTTCAGGGCTGACAGCTGCAACCGTTGCTCGGATTGCTCTGTCATGTAGGGCCTAACCTCTCAGACCCATAAGTTTGGGCTGTGCGAATGTTATGGTCAGGGCCAAACAAAGGGGAATGGCTGAAAAGGGGGAACGGGTCGGGACTTTGTTCCGGCTTCGCGGCTTCGTCTAAGCTGTGAGGGTTCGTCTAAGGCCTGCCTTCGTAGCCTGAGTTTGCCTCCGCGTCAGATTTAGGATGAAGGGGGTTCGCTAGCAGCTTTTGGCCCTTCGTCTAAGCTGTTTGCCTTCGACAAAGCTCGTCTAAGGCCGCGGGCCATTCTTTGAGCCGTTCCTTTTGGTTTGGCCTTCATATAAAGCCCGTGCACGGGACCTGCAGGCTGCGCGAGCTGGCCGGAAAAAGTGGTGCTTGCAGATACTGTTATGTTAGATGTGTGCCTTGTAATTTAAAGTCTGCTGTGTGTTATAAGCCTTTAACATCATGGCACCAGCGATCTGGGTGCTGGTGCTGATGATGACGACTCGAGTCGCAATGGTATACAGCTGGGCCAATATTGAAATTCAACGTAAATCCAGCCAGCGCACCTTCATTCCAACACCAAGCCAGCAGGTAAACTCGCCCGCTCATGAAACTTGGATTCCGCTATAGGGGCGCCGAATGTCCAGCCAATTCAGGAATCCAGTGTCGTAGAGTACTGAAGCGTGGTTGCGTCTGGCACGGCAGCTTTTTTTGAGATACGCCATGTTGATCACTTATACTGTTAGGCAAAGCTTCGCGCGCGTGTATTTGAGTGATGACTGCGTGCCCCGAAATATTGAGAGGCAGGCTTCGCTGCGCCATGTTATCTCCATGCGTTATCGGGAAATCTCACTGGTCCGTCCTGCGGCCGGAAGGACGGTGAATGTGGTGCATGCACTGATTTATGTCGGCTACCCTGCCTGGCATCAACACATATCTGAACAACAAAACCAGAGAATGCAGCAACAAGGATGCCATGGGAGAAATTGACTCCTTGTAATTACCCGTGAGCCAGGGTGGTACAGACACACAGTGTTTTGCACAGGGTGGTTCACGAACTACCTACCCCAAGGCACAACATGTAACATTCGCATATTCCACAGGTGCATGAGAGCGACGGTCCATGTTCATACTCAGTGAGACGGTGGGAATGGTGAAGAAGAAGAAGGTGTTAGGGTTCACGGTTTAGGGTTTACGGTTCATGATGTTGGCGGCTACGAGAATTTCCGCTGTACACCTTGAGGTCCATTCGCGTAGTGTTATGAGCATACTTGGCACACAACTCGAAGCTGGTTTTGTTACGGTCTTACCATGTCTCACCCGCTTGCCAGTGCGCTCCTGTCCACACAGCATGGGAACATTTTGTTGCAGACATGTTGCAAAGTGCAATAGGTGCCTCAGTTCAGAATCTACCTCATGATGTACGACGTCTCACACGGACGCGCGGCTCGCTACTCCAACATACTGCTGGGAGAACACCTCGAGGCAGCGGTGCATCACGGGGTAAAGGTCAGGATGATGCGCCATGCATCCTGTCAGGCAGTTTGGCACACCGGATTGGTAGTCGAATGGGGCCAAGCAAGCCAATGCCTCGTGACAGAAAGCCACACGCATGCTGTTCACAGCTGAGTTCTTGGCATTACTGACAAATGTACGCTTGCGAGGCGAATTTTGGTTTGGAGGGAACATCGAAGAATCGGAGCCCGGGCCCGGAACTTGGATTAGCGAGAGTTGGTGCGAACTACGGCAGTGTTCGCAGGACCACGTTCGCATTCAAGTGAACTTTTATAGGTTTCTTAGTGCTTTTCCGATAAATTTCTTTCAGTGTTGCTGCTGGCTTCTTACCGCATGTAGATAGATAGAACCGGATTCTGCTGCACGTAGATGCATGCCAGTGTGCACCAGCTTTTACTGCACATGGTTTGCTTTTTCTGGTGGGAACAGACCAAGCGACGTGAGAATCGGACTATTTCGCCTTTGAAACGGCCCAAATCTCACGTCGTTTCCGGGAGGGGGAAGCGCGAAGCGTGTTTAGATGAAATTGGAGGGGCGTCTCTGGTTGGGCTTCTTGTGAGTAGTGTATGGCTGCGCGGGTGTAGCATGCAGAGTGGCTAAACCCTAAACCCTGAACCCTAAACCCTCAAGAAAGTGATAAATAGAAATTGCTTGTCCTTGTTTGTAACCACCGCTACGGCCCAACATACCGATGAACAATTGAACAAGCTTCTTGATAAACCAATTTCCTTACAAGCTTGTAACCGCCGCTACGGCTTGTCCTTGTTTGTAATCATGGCTACGGCTCAACATACCGATTAAAAATTGCCAGGCACTTGAAATTTGCAGAGTCTGTACCATACAAAGATACGAAGTTCATGGGTGGACGTTGGCGTTACAAACTTACAGCGTCCTTGAAATTTGCAAAGTCTGTACCATACAAAGATACGAAGTTCATGGGTGGACGTTGGCGTTACAAACTTACAGCGTCCTTGAAATTTGCAAGGTCTGTACCATACAAAGATACGAAGTTCATGGGTGGACGTTGGCGTTACAAACTTACAGCGTCCTTGAAATTTGCAAGGTCTGTACCATACAAAGATACGAAGTTCATGGGTGGACGTTGGCGTTACAAACTTACAGCGTCCTTGAAATTTGCAAGGTCTGTACCATACAAAGATACGAAGTTCATGGGTGGACGTTGGCGTTACAAACTTACAGCGTCCTTGAAATTTGCAAGGTCTGTACCATACAAAGATACGAAGTTCATGGGTGGACGTTGGCGTTACAAACTTACAGCGTCCTTGAAATTTGCAAGGTCTGTACCATACAAAGATACGAAGTTCATGGGTGGACGTTGGCGTTACAAACTTACAGCGTCCTTGAAATTTGCAAGGTCTGTACCATACAAAGATACGAAGTTCATGGGTGGACGTTGGCGTTACAAACTTACAGCGTCCTTGAAATTTGCAAGGTCTGTACCATACAAAGATACGAAGTTCATGGGTGGACGTTGGCGTTACAAACTTACAGCGTCCTTGAAATTTGCAAGGTCTGTACCATACAAAGATACGAAGTTCATGGGTGGACGTTGGCGTTACAAACTTACAGCGTCCTTGAAATTTGCAAGGTCTGTACCATACAAAGATACGAAGTTCATGGGTGGACGTTGGCGTTACAAACTTACAGCGTCCTTGAAATTTGCAAGGTCTGTACCATACAAAGATACGAAGTTCATGGGTGGACGTTGGCGTTACAAACTTACAGCGTCCTTGAAATTTGCAAGGTCTGTACCATACAAAGATACGAAGTTCATGGGTGGACGTTGGCGTTACAAACTTACAGCGTCCTTGAAATTTGCAAGGTCTGTACCATACAAAGATACGAAGTTCATGGGTGGACGTTGGCGTTACAAACTTACAGCGTCCTTGAAATTTGCAAGGTCTGCACCATACAAGACACGAAGTTCATGGGTGGACGTTGGCGTTACAAACTTACAGCGTCCTTGAATTTTGCAAAGCCTGTACCATACAAAGATACGAAGTTCATGGGTGGACGTTGGCGTTACAAACTTACAGCGTCCTTGAAATTTGCAAGGTCTGTACCATACAAAGATACGAAGTTCATGGGTGGACGTTGGCGTTACAAACTTACAGCGTCCTTGAAATTTTTCAAGGTCTGTACCATACAAAGATACGAAGTTCATGGGTGGACGTTGGCGTTACAAACTTACAGCGTCCTTGAAATTTGCAAGGTCTGTACCATAGAAAGATACGAAGTTCATGGGTGGACGTTGGCGTTACAAACTTACAGCGTCCTTGAAATTTGCAAGGTCTGTACCATACAAAGATACGAAGTTCATGGGTGGACGTTGGCGTTACAAACTTACAGCGTCCTTGAAATTTGCAAGGTCTGTCCCATACAAAGATACGAAGTTCATGGGTGGACGTTGGCGTTACAAACTTACAGCGTCCTTGAAATTTGCAAGGTCTGTACCATACAAAGATACGAAGTTCATGGGTGGACGTTGGCGTTACAAACTTACAGCGTCCTTGAAATTTGCAAGGTCTGTACCATACAAAGATACGAAGTTCATGGGTGGACGTTGGCGTTACAACCTTACA